GTTGGTGTGGCAGGGGGCAGAGGGAGGGAGGGGAGAGTCTGGGTTGAAGGTGGGGGTTGGCTCAGTGTGTGTGTGTGTGTGTGTGTAGAAGGGGGGTAGTAGAAGAGAGGGAGGTGACAGCCCTGGGGTGAAAGTGTGTAGGGAGTGGGCAGTAGCAGGGAGATTGAGGAGAGCCTTTGTTAGGGGGTTAGTTGTGTGGGATGGGGACAGTAGGAGGGATGGGAGGAGAGCCCAGGTGTGAAGATTGGGATAGGAACTTGAGGCTGGATTGTGGTAGCCTTTGTGGTAAAGTGTGTGTGTTTCAGTGGCCCTTTCTCCCTGCAAAAGATGGGCACCAGCAATTTTCCTCCCCACACCCCGCCCCAAAGTTTTTTAAACATTATTGTACCAAAGTAGAAAATGCAGCTTTCAAAAAATGTATTTAGGAAACATAACTGGGTGGAGGAGGTGGTGGTGGGGAGATGCAGGTGCGACACCACTGACTGCTGCAGCTGGGCTTAATATGGCTCATAAGTGTGCTAATTAAGCACTTGTGTTCAGGGCCCTAAGCAGGCTCTGAGTGTTTAAAGAAAAAAGACAAAACTAACAACGCTCCTCCCACACAAACCAAATTCAGTGTTCTGAGTACATTGATGTTAGCCCAGTTTGTTTTCTATGGGCTGAGTGGAGGTCGCAGTTTGGCTTCAAATATCTTATTTTGTTTTTGAATAAATGTTTTCATCCCCATCCCGGCAATACCACATTTACTATGGCATCAATGGTGCTGTCACGCTAGGACCATATCTGGAAGGGGTTCATCACAACCACATGGGGGCCCACCAATATGTTTGGCGTCGGGCCCACAAAAAGTTAATCCAGCCCTGGTCACTTCAACTTACCGGTTGTTAAATTTAGAAGCCCTTTTAGAACCGGTTCCCAGCTCACCACTGTGTGTAACCCAGGGTAAGGGTCTCCCCTCCGTTGCCCCTCCTGTGAGCACCACGGGTCTCATCTTCTAAACACTAAATGGAGACCACTTGGCCTGGATGATGCCCCTTTGAAGTACAGACTGAAGGATGGCTTGGCTTTCAGCTCATCCGGTGCCCAATTCTCTTGCTGTAGGATGCAGGCCATTCCCATTGGCTTCTGCGGGAGGTGCTTCTGTCCTATGCTGGGAAAACGGAGCCTGTGGGGTTTAGTATGTTACATAGCTACAACAAAATAAACTCAGTATAATAATAGAGGGTGTCTCAATGGCACAACCACTCTATCCCCTTACCCTGGTTAATTAAAAACTAAAAGGATGGAACCCCTCCAGAACTAACTATGCCAAGTTCATAATGGGAAATGCTGAATGGAGTATTCTCAAAAGAGTATTTTCTCACTGCTAGTGTAATGTACTGCCAGGTGCATATCGCCCCCTACTGGAATTAATCAGACCTTTGTGTGTTCAGATTCTGATTATTAACCTGTGCAGGGAGGCTAAATACTACTCCCAGGTAATGAGGGTTGCCATTTGCCTGCAAGAGGCTTCTGTTGGAAGAGCAGAAAAGTATGACGTCTCATCCCAGTGCCATGTGTATTTGATTTGGCTGAATGACTCCGGTGTCCGGAAGTTTGTGTCCTGGCCACTTTATGGTGCCTGTTAAAGTAATCATGCCATGAGTGGTGAAGTGGCCTTATTGTAAAATAATGTGTTGTTCAGACTAAAGATGATCTCATTTTCTGAGAATGGCTGTTCTGTAGGGATGCACTCTTCTGTCTTTAATTTTCTCTAGGAGGATTTGTCAGAGTTTGCCATGGTTTGGCTGTGTTAAACTTCCTGAAGTTCCTGGAACTGGTATCTGGAGGCAGCTTCCAAAGTTGGTGGCTGCAGGTTTTTGTGCTATTTTCTCAAAGCTGCCACCAGCTTCTCTTCTTACTGTGCATTAAGCAGGAGCAGGTTACACTTTGAACTGCTATCTGACAAATTGGATTGGTGGGGGGAAGTTGTAGAATATGAAACAATCCAAGTCTCCTGTAAGGCTGGAGAAATCCTGTCACTGGGTCGCTTCACTGACTGACAGGCAATATTAAAGTAAGCTTTTAAGTGCAGTATCGTTGTCAGGGGCAAATACTTCAGGAGAAAACATGACACACCCCACACCTCCCGGAGAGAGGACAGGAATCCAGCCCTGGCGATCAGCTGCAATAGTCTGTTTTGTGGTTGCAGAACACACCCACGGTCAATTCATGAGAGGACCCTAGCAATCAGGGCATGTAACATACTCTATTATATTAATGTGTTTTTCAGCCCTGGCACTCAGCTGTGACAGATTCCTTTCATAGTGAGGTCATTTTCAGAGAGCAGCTGCTCCAGGAGGAGAGGCGTCTCTGGGAGCCTGATTGCAATCAGCACTTTGCCATGAATTCAGACAGATGGAGGCTGTCATTCGGATTCTATAAAACACACTGTTTCACTATGGTTCACGTTAGGTGGGATTCAGTGTGGCTCTGTCGGGTGGCTGATGACACAGGCTCCCTAAAACGTCATCTCCAGGTGGATCTTTACTTCATTTGTGGCACAGCCTTGACACCTAGTGGATGGGAAAGGAGGTGCCTTTCTAATAATCTCTGGATTCTTGCCCAGTCTCTGGAGCTGGCTGTTTCAAACAAGGGTGAAGAAGAATGTGGCTAGCTCCACATTGCACATGGTGATGGTGTTGGGCTGCACGACATTTCCCATGTGTGCTGTATTTCGCTGCACCTCAACACATGGGGATTGCTTTTTTTTGTGAAGGCTTGAGACCGATATCTGGGGCTGGCGTTGGAGTTGCCCCATTTAGCCACACGTCTGTTTCACCCTGCTACACCCTTGAGGGTTCAAGTCCAATGTAGAGTTGTTAACCTCATGAGCTTTGGGACATATTCAAGGAGTTTCACTGATACTAGGGTGCCTAGAACAATACTGGGTGGTGAAGAGGGAGTTTTGCTGAGCATACATAGTGCTGCCAAAGTGCATAGGCATAGGGTGCAAGATATCAGACCATCTGCACCCAGTTAGCATTGTGGCACTGTTCATCTTCTCACGAGCTTTGGGAAAAGTGAGCTGGACTGTCCCTGATTGAACCCTTCACCTTATCCCAGCTAAGAACCATAAGCTGTTGACAGTGCTGGGCTGTCTTAATTTCATTCACATTGCCGGAGCATCAATGGTGTGCCAGGGACCTCACTGGTACATTTGAGAACACAGTGTCCCCGCTGCTGGGTGTTCCGGGTATGTTCTGCAGTAGCTGAAGGCCTAGAGAGCAGAAAGGGTGGTGGTTTTCACTGTGTTTAGTAAACAACCCTCCGGAGTGAAAAACATATTGCTTATGCCAGTTACCAATGGTGCTTTGCAGCCATCAAGCTATAAAGGGACAAAGCAGAAGGATGGTCTTGTGGATAAAGCATAGCAGTGGAAGTCAGGAGATCTGCACATAGCTATGCCATACATGCTGAATGTGTTTGGCAGGTCACTTCACCTCTCCATTCCTGTTGCCCCACTTCTAATGTAGGGACAATAATACTCTCCTACCTCGCAGATCAGTTGTGAGGATTAATCCATTAATGTTTACAGCCTCCTTTGAGAGCCTCAGACAGGAGCCAAATGAGAATGACAGAGCTGGTCTAGTAGCATAAAGCCATTAAAGTCAGAGGCAAAATAATCATTAACTTCAATGGGATCAGGATTTGGCATGTGGGACATGGTTCCTCCCTTCCCTATCCTGTGTCTCAGGCTCCCCTCTTCTCCCTTTATTTTATGTGCATTTTCCTGCCTCTGTGTTTTCTGCCCTCTTTCCACTCCCCTGCCTCTTTCCCCGAATTTAAAATGTCAAACTATTTACAGTCCAAGAATTGTGCACTATTCTGCGCTTTTCTGATGTCACTTGTGTATCCGAGCCTTCACTACTCAGCAATATGGATAGAAACATCACCTCTCTTTTAACCCCAGGATCGGCTGCCATGTACGACACCCTTTGTGCACTCAGTAATGCACCTGATCTATTGTTCTGAGTAAGAGAACTTGCAAATGTCTAAATATTTTTAAGACCATGGTTCTGGTTAGAGAGCCCCTGGTATTGACAGTTCCAGTGCTGGGCTAGCTAAAACCATTTCAGTACTAATTAACTGGCACGTAAAGATTGTCTTAACAAACTGACATGTATTGTGATTTCATTATTGAATGTTACGGTTGAAAGTTTGACAATAGGAAATTTATATAATCAAAACCCCATTGGGTTCATCTGATCATAGCAATCCCTTGGCTGTTATCATAGATCTGGGTGTCTGAAGTTGGCTGAGAACACAAACCACATGGGAATGTGTAATTAGATTATAATTAATTGGTGTTTGCTT